CCTATCACTGACAGCATTGTACTTCAGGACAGATCTTGAAACATCCTTTGTGATGATGAATGCCACATCATTCCTCTTGAAACTGTCATTCCTGGCATAGTAGATCACATGGTTGTCTGATTCAAAATGGCCAAAACCAGTCCATTTCAGCTCACTAATGCTGAGGATATCAATCTTTATGCTTTCCATTTCATTTTTGATAACTTTCAATATTCCTAGATTCATACTTTGTACATTCCATGTTCTGATGATTAATGGATTTCTGCAGCTGTTTCTCTTCAATTTGAGTGATGCCACATCAGCAAATGGAAGTCTTGAAAGCTTTACCTTATCCATATGAGTAAGGCTGGGTTACTCAGATGATGCAGCTCTTTCTTAGTCCTATTTTCAGAGCCTTCTAACCTAACCGTACTGTTTATAAAATTGCGTGGTAATGTATCAAACAGTGTTTCTTTGCTATTCCTAAGGTTTTCCCCTGGCCAATTCTTTGAGAAGTGGACAGTCTCTTCCTTCTTCCTAGTATGTCTCAGTCTGTAAACTGGGATGATACCTGTGCACCATGTGCATTCCGCTGGGTTAGAAACACCAGTGGCTCAGCCTCAAAACTCACATCAACATGTCACCACGGTAGGACAAATCGACAGACAACTTTGCCTCCCTGTTCGAAACCTCTCATACCACCCTTGCCTGGGTCCCTGCAGCTGACTCCTCCTCTGTCCAGATTTCTAGGTCTTTTAATCCCCTTTCTCCTGCCCTTCTGCTTTGGGTGTGCCTGAGTTCCTCTCTTCACCTGGATCCCTGCAACTGACTACTCCTCTGTCTGAGTTCCTGGCTTTTAATCCCCTTTCTCCTGCCCTTCTGCTTTGGGTGTGCCTGAGTTCCTCTCTTCACCTGGATCCCTGCAACTGACTACTCCTCTGTCTGAGTTCCTGGCTTTTAATCCCCTTTCTCCTGCCCTTCTGCTTTGGGTGTGCCTGAGTTCCTCTCTTCACCTGGATCCCTGCAACTGACTACTCCTCTGTCTGAGTTCCTGGCTTTTAATCCCCTTTTTCCTGCTCTCCTGCGGGTCTGACATGGAGCTGGCGGGGCCCGGCACTCAGCGCAGCAGGCAAGGTGGGTGCCATGGCCCTGATTGAAGGGTTGGGTGATGAGGTGACCATTCTTTTTTGCAGTGCTTGCCTGCCTTCTGGTGCTGACCCTCACCTGGGTCTCAACATACACTGCCGAGAGGGTCGACCCACTGTCCCAGCCGTCAGGGACCCCAACTTCAGCACAGCCCAGCAAAGCCATGGCAGCCACCAGTAGCATCAGGGGGGTGACCCTTGGATCTGAGGCCCCCACCCTGAGGCAGAGAAGTCAAGTTGCACAGCCAGAGCCTGGTATGGGGCTCCCAGCAACACCACATCCACCAGACTCCCCTCAGGAGCCCCTCTTGCTTCGGCTGAAATTCCTGAATGATTCAGAGCAAGTGTCCAGGGCCTGGACCTAGGACACCATTGGCTCCTTCAAAAGGACCCAATTCCCTGGTGGGGAACAGCAGGTGTGCCTCATCTACCATGGGCAACTTCTAGGAGACAATTCCCAAACCCTGAGCAGCCTTCACCTCCCTCTCAACTGTGTTCTCCACTGCCACGTGTCCACACAGGTTGGTCCTCCAAATCCTCCTTGCCCACCAGGATCAGAAACAGACCCTTCTGGGCTAGAAATAGGCAGCCTACTGCTGCCCCTGCTACTTCTGATGCTCCTACTACTCTGGTACTGCCAGATACAGTATCAGCCCTTCTTTCCCTACCTGCCACGCTAGACCTAGCTGGCTTCACCCTGCTCCTCAGTCTCCTGGCCTTTGCCATGTACCACCCATAGTGCCTCCACCAGTGCTTGGCAGTGCTGCCAATCCCTCTGGACTTCTACTCTATGGCAACTGATTAATTTATTAAATTATGTTAGCATGCATTATTGAATGAGATTAAATTAAATTAGATTACATAATGGAAGTGATTACATTAGATATAAAGAAATCATATTACATTACATTATTTTACATCCACAAGTATTTTGTTGTTCTTGTTTGGTGCTGTCCACAAGTATAGGAGTTAGGATTCTAGTATACATTTTGTGGTCACATATTTCAATCCACACCAATAGCACAAGTGAAAATCTTGATGACGTCAGATTTGACAGTTTTTAGATACACTTCAAAAAGCATGGTCCATGAAAGAAAACATTGATAAGTTGGACTTCATTTAATTAAAAACTTCTTCTTTATGAATAACACTGTTAAGAAAATGAAAAGATGTCAGAGACTGGGAGAAAATGTTTGCAAAACGCAGATCTTATAAAGGCGTTGGACCCAACATATACAAAGCACTGGTAAAGCTAAACAGTAACAAAACAGCCTACTAACCAAGCAGGGAAATAAATTGAACAGACACCTCTCCAAAGAAGTTATAAAAGTAAGCATATGAAAAGATGGTCAACATCATATGTGGTTTTTGTTGTGTGCTGTCAAGTCCATTTCAACTTATAGTGACCATACAGGAAAGAATAGAGCTACTACATAGATTTCCTAGGCTGTAATCTTTTTGGGGACAGATGACCAGGTCTTTTCTCTCACAGAACTGCTGATGGGTTTGAATGACAAACCTATTGCTTAGCAGCCTAACACTTAACCATTATGCCACCAGAAAATTGCAAATTAAAACACCTATTAAAATGGCCCAAATTCAAAACACTAAAACTTGAAATGCTGATGAACATTTGGAATAACAGGAACTCTCATTTATTGCTGGTGGAAATAAATAATAGGAACAGCCACTTTGGAAGACAGTCTGACAATTTCTTATAAAGCTAAGCATGGACTTATTAGGTGACCCAACAATAGTACTAGGTACTCATGTAAATGAGTTGGAAATACATGTCCACGCAAACACATGCATAGAAATGTTCATAGCAGCTTTATTAATAGTTATTAAAATTGAAAGATTCCCCTAAAAAGGAGGACAGATAAATAGGTAAACAAACTGTGGTATATGCATACAATGGAATATTATTCAGTGATAAAAAAAATGAGCTATCAAGCTCTGAACGTAAGAGTAAGAACTATAAGCTTAAACAAAGTATGGAGAAATCTTACGTGAATATTGTTAAATTGAAAGAAACACTTCTGAAAAATACTACATACTGTATGATTCTATCTATTTGACATTCTGGAAAGTTAAAAATATCAGTGGTTGTCAGAACTTGGGGAGAAAGAAGAGGATGAATAGTGGAACATTAAATCAAACCCACTGCTTTTGAATGGATTCTGACTCATAATGACCCCCCCCATCGGGCAAATAAAACTGCCTAATAGGTTTGCCGGGAGCTCTGGTAGCATAGTGCCTAAGGCACTTGACTGCTAACCAGGAGGCTGGCGGTTCAAACCCACCAGCCACTCCTCGGAAGGAAGGTTGGGCATTCCTACTTCCGTAGTGATAACTGCCTCGGAAACCCAAGGAGGGGTCGCTAGGAGTCGGGGCCGACTCAATGGCAAATAACAACAACAATAGGTTTTCCAAGGCTGTAAATCTTTACATAAGCACACTACCACATCTTTCTTCCACGGAGCTGCTGTTAGGTTCAAACTGCGGACTTTTTTGGGTTATCTGTTGAGTTCTTTAACCACTGTGCCGCCAGGGCTTCTAGGTCGAGTATAGGGCATTTTAATGGCAGTGAAATTATTCTGCATGACACTGCCACAGATACACAACATATATCTGTCAGAAACCAAAGAACTGTACACGAAGAAAAACACAAAAACTGTACAACTCTAATATAAACTATGGGCTTTTATTAATAATAATGTATCAGTATGGGTTATTGATTCACTAAGGAGCCCTATTTGCTCAGCTGTTAAATCACACAGTTGCTAACTGAAAAGTCAGTGGTTAAGACCCACCAGTGGCTCCAAGGGAGAAAAGACTTGGTGACCTGCAACAGTAAAGCTTACAGCCTAAGAAACCCTATAGAGCAATGATAAACTGTGACATGGGGTCACGATGAGCTGGAATCGATTAGCATACAACAATAATTGATTCACTAATTTTAACAAATGTACACACTAATGGAAGAGATTAATAATATGCAGGAGGGTGAAGGTGTATATTGCAACTCTCTGTACTTTGTGTGTGATTTTTTATTTAAACCTAAAATACACAACAACAACAACATATATTATTAAGTGAAAGAACCAAAAATAAAAGAGCAGATACTATTAATCTATGGTGATAGAAATCTGAATAAAAGTGGTTGCCAAGTAGGTGTGGGATTGACATGAGGGAACTTTCTAAAGTGTTGTTCTCTATTTTGATTGCAGATGTTGATTTCTCAGTTGTATACGTTTCTCAAAACTTAAAAGATTATATACTTACACATTTCTCTATATTTAAATATCACTTCAATATAACATTAAAAATTAAAAGTTGAATAAGTGTTTAAAACAGGATAACAATTATAGAATGGTACTAATCTTCCCTTCACACCAATCTATATTAATTTGACACATTTTGTTTTTGTTTTTTAGCCAGTAGGTTGTTCCATTCCCCTTGTTGAAGTACCCCAAGGTAGTCATATGAATTTGGCCTCCTTTTGTGACAAAGTAAAAAAGTGAGTATTGCATTTTATTAAACATTTTTTATATTTTGAATTAATTTTAGATACAAAATTTCAAAGTTGTATATTTGTGAATACAGTGAAAAAACAAATTTTTAATGAATTATTTTATTACTCAACTGCTGAGCTTGTTTCTATTGTTTATATACAAATAGGATTTTTTTGTTGAAAATTTAGTTAAAGCTGAATATTGTGTAAATTCAGATCCATCTCTGCTTACTGTGAGTAGTATTATTTATTTACAGTGAATTAATTTCTCATTTAATGATATCAGTAGTTAGTTCCTCTTGCTCAAGCCAAACTAGCACAGATTTAGCCTTCCTACCTGGGATGTTGTTGTTGTTATGTGCCATTGAGTTGGACCCGACTCATAGCGACCCTCCTTGGGTTTCCGAGGCAGTATCACTACAGGAGTAGATAGCCCCATCTTCCTTCCGAGGAGTGGCTAGTGGGTTTGAACTGCCAGCCTTCTGCTTAGTAGTCAAGTGCCTTAGGCACTAAGCTGCCAGAGCTCCTGGGATAGTCTATTTAAAATTCTGAGTATGTGTTTCTCTTAATAGCTCAACCTAATGTTCAATTGTTGTAAGGTGCCCCCCAGTCAGTTCATAATGACTTTATGTACAGCAAGGAAGCACTGCCCATTGCTGTGCATGCCTTGCAATCTTTGCTGTGCTTGAGCCTGTCATTTCAGCCACTGGGTCAGTTCATCTCGATCTTCACTGGCCCTCTGCTTTTCCAAGCATTATATAGGGACTGGGAGCTCTGATAGCACAGTGCCTAGGGCACTTGACTGCTAATCACAAGGCTGACGGTTCAAACCTACCAGCCACTCCTCGGAAGGAAGATGGGCAATCTACTTCCGTAGTAATACTGCCTCAGAAACCCAAGGAGGGGTCGCTATGAGTCAGGTCCGACTCAATGGCACATAACAACAACATATAGGGGCTGATCCCTTCTAACAGTATGACCAAAATAGAGAAGATGAAGTTTGGTGATTCTTACTTCTAAACAGAATTCTGACTGTACTTCTTCCAAGACAGATTTGTGAGTTCTTCTGGCAGTCCATGGTATTTTTAATATTTTTCACCAATATCACACTTCAAATGCATCAATTATTCTTTGGCCTTCCTATTCATTGTCCAGCTTTCACATGCATATGAAGCTACAGAAAATACCATGGCTTGGGTCAGGCCCACCTTAATCTTCAAAGTGACATCTTTGCTCTTTAACACTTTAAAAACATGTTTTGTAGCAGATTCGCCCAGTGCAATACAATGTGTGATTTCTTGACAGCTGCTTCCATAGGTATTGATTGTGGATCCAAGTAGGATAACATCCCTGAAAATTTCAATCTTTTCTCCGTTTATTATTATGTTGCCTATTGGTCCAGTTGTGAAGATTTTTGTTTTCTTCACAAAAGAAAGTTGAGACATAATTGTTGAGACATAATTCATAATGAAGCTCTTGTCTTTAATTTTCATTAATAACTGCTTCAAGTCTTCTTCAATTTCAGCAATAAAGTTGTATCATCTGCATATCACAAATTGTTAAAGAGTTTTCTTCTAAACCTAATGCTGTGTTCTTCTTCATATAATCCAGTGTCTCAGATTATTTTCTCAGCATACAGGTTGAATAAGTATGGTGAAAGGACACAACCCTGATGCATACCTTTCCTGATTTTAAACCATGCAACATCCCCTTGTTCTGTTCAAACTAACTGCCTTTTGTTCTATGTACAGTTTCCACACAATTAAATGTTTTGAAATTCCCATTCTTATCAATGTTATCTATAATGTGTTATGATCCACACAGTTAAATGCCTTTGTGTAGTCAATAAAACATAGGTAAACATATTTCTGGTTGTCTTTTCTTTCAGCTAACATCCATCTAACATCAGCAATGATATCACTCATTCTATGTCCTCTTCTGAATCCAGATTGAATTTCTATCTGTTCCTTGTAAATATACTGCCACAAGTATTTTTAAATTATTTTCAGCAGAATTTTACCTGCACATGATATTAATGATACTGTTTAATAATTTTTGCAATCTATTGGATTACCTTTCTTTGGAATGGGCAGAAATATGGATTTCTTCCCGTCTATTGGCCAATTAGCTACTTCCCCAATTTTTTAGCATAAAAGAGTGAGCACCTCCAGCACTACATTCATTTGTTGAAACATCTCAGTTCGTATGCCATCAATTCCTGGAGCCTTGTTTTTCACCAGTTTCTTCAGTGCAGCTTGGACTTCCTCCTTCAATACCATGAGTTCAAGGATTCAAGAGCTCATTTCAGAGTCTCTTCTGACATCCATTTTGGTCTTTTCTTTCTTTGCTGTCATTTTAATGACCTTTTTTTTTTTTTTTTTCATGTATGATGTCCTTATGTTCTCCCAAACTCATCTGTTCTTTGGTCATTGGTACTCAGTGCATCAAATTTATTTTTTAGATGGTCTCTAAATTCAGGTGGGATATACTCAAGGTTGTATTTTGGCTCTCATGGACTTCTTTTAATTTTCTTAATCTTCAACATAAACTTCCATGTAAGCAATTGGTATGTTCCACAGTTGGCTGCTGTCCTTTTTCTGACTGATGATACTGAGCTTCTCCATAGCCTCTTTCCATAGATGTGCTCAATTTGATTCCTTTGTAGTCCATCTGGCAAGGTCTGTGTGGATAATTACTGTTTATGTTGTTGAAAAAAGGTATTTTCAAAGAATAAGTCATTGGTCTTACAAAATTCTATCAAGCAGTTACCAGCATCATTTTTTTTCATCAGTGCTATATTTTCCAACCACTGATGCCGCTTTGTTTCCAACTTTCACAACCCAATCACCAATAATTATCAGTGCATCTTGATTGTGTGCTGGGCAATTTCAGACCACAGGAATTTGTAAAAATCTTCAACCTTTAATCTCTTCATCTGTGATATTAGTGGTTGGCTCATGTATTTGAGTAACAATAGTATTAGATTGTCTTCCTTTTAAGTGTATGGATATTTCTCTATCACTGAAGGCATTGTACTTCAGGATAGATCTTGAAATATTCTTTTTGACCATGAATGATCAACATGTCATTCATGGCATAGTAGATCCTGTGATTGTAATATTCCAAATGGCCAGTAGCAGTCCAGTAGCTCACTAATGCCTAGTATATCAGTATTCATGTGTTCTGTTTCATGTCAGACAACTTCCAATTGTCCTAGATTCATACTTTGTGAATTGTGTGTTCCAGTTATTAATGAATGTTTGCAGCTCTTTCTACTCATTTTGAGTCATGCCGCATCACCAAATGAGGGTCTTGAAAATTACTCTATCCACATCATTAAGGCCAACC